CCTCCCAAGTAGCTGGGACTACAGGCACCCACCACAATGCCTGGCTATTTTTTGGTTGCAGCCATCATTGTTGTTTTGGCAGGCCTGCTGTGGATTCGAACCCGCCACCTTAGGTGTACGTGGCTGACGCCTTAGCCGGTTGAGCTATAGGCGCCGAGCCACACAGCTATGATTTAATTAAAAAAAAAAAAAGGGAGAATAAGGCTCACTGCCCGTAGCACAGTGGTTACGGCACCGGCCACATACAGGCTGGAGGTTCGAACACGGCTGGGCAAACTGAACAACAACTGCAACAAAAAAAATAACCAGCTGTTGTGGTGGGTGCCTGTAGTCCCAGCTACTCAGGATGCTGAGGCAAGAGAATCACTTAAGCCCAAGAGTTGGAGGTTGCTGTGAGCTGTGACACAACAGCACTCTACTGAGGACAACATAATAAGACTCTGTCTCAAACAAAAAGGAGGGGGGAGAATAAGAGTCTACAAAGCATAGAGTTAGTTTGATAATTGCTTTTGGCTATTAACTAGTAGTAAAAGATATTGAGGGAAGACAGAAGATATTACTATCGTTGTGATTATTTATTTTCTTTTTTTTTTTTTTTGTAGAGACAGAGTTTCACTTTATCGCCCACAGTAGAGTGCCATGGCGTCACACAGGTCACAGCAACCTCCAACTCCTGGGCTTAAGCAATTCTCTTGCCTAAGCCTCCCAAGTAGCTGGGACTACAGGCACCCACCCGCCACAACACCCAGCTATATTTTGGTTGCAGCCATCATTGTTGTTTGGCGGGCCCAGGCTAGATTCAAACCTGCCAGCTGAGGTGTATGTGGCTCGTGCCTTAGCTACTTGAGCCACAGGCGCCGAGCCTAATGGATAGTCTTAACCAAATGATGCTGGGAAAGTGGATATCCAAATGCAAAAAACCTGTATCTAGACATAGCCCTGACACCCTTCGTAAAAATTAACTCAAAATGGATTGTATGTCTAAAAGAAAAATAACCCGGCTCAGCGCCTGTGGTTCAAGTGGCTAAGGCGCCCACCACATACACCTAAGGTGGTGGGTTCGAATCCAGCCC